ACATTACGAATTCAGTACATGTTCAACAAAACGTCCATGAAGAAAAGAATTTCTCACACAAACGACTGTCCATAAAGTTGCTGAAACAAACCGGTGAAAATGTTACTTCACGGGTGATGCCTAGCTTACTTTTGGTTGACTCTTACTAACCACGTACAGCCGTGCATACATCAAATAGTCCTTCAAAAGATAAGTAGGCGCCCGACAGGTAATCGTATTCCACTTCAGTCAGAAATTGATCTATTCGGAATGTCATCCGAATAGATATGCAGTGACATTAGCGTGCAACTGCTGAGACGCATTTTTCGTGCGATAGTCAGAAAATCGATTGATAATGCACTTATACACGCTGCATCTGAGGCCTGCCCGCACAAGAACTGCGCAGCTGAACGGTAAGACATTCATAATGGAATTCAACTAGAGTTAAACTCGAGAGAGTGCGTCATCTGAGATTTGATGGCGAATAAGCGAAATCGAAATACAGTCTACTTAGCTAACACGGCCTGACCCTACTACCTTCACCTCCTGTCTGTCTACAGCCTTGCTGTACTGCTCCTCGCAAACACAACAATCTCGTCTTTAGACGTTTGTTTGTTTTTGCAGGTTGTTTTCTCTTTGGTAACGTCATTCACACGATGTCTGTCAGTTTCACTCGAGCGGAGTCCATACCGATCACAGATATTAGCGGACTTCCACGTGAAGTTGATCATACACGTGATCACAAAAGTTCCGACTTCATTCGTAGTTTCTTGTAGCTCACGTACTTTGAACCCATCAAACCTGATGGGGCTTAGGCCAAGGTTGCGGCCGACAAGAACGAGCCTTGAGGAACATACGAAAACACTTGAAACGACAACTTGAAACTGAGGAATACTCACGTTCTAGCAAACCTGTTCGGGCCGTTATGTCCGTCACGACTGGGCTACAACCTCTGGTCATCGGAATTACAACTATTTTCGACGCTGCTGATACTTAAGAGCCGATTCACGTGATCGATTCAAAGCGGCATGTGAGGAAGCAAGTTTGCCTGAAAATTTGCAATAGTTCGCTCGTTGGTACAACATGAACCCCGCAACCAAACAGACCAGTAAACTCGCCTATTTCTTTAGAGCATGGGACTGTAAAGTTTACCAGAAATGCTACCTAACCTGATTTTTCCGACAAGTTAAAAACTCTGACACAACGATTTCTGGCTTCTCATACCTTCGAGGTCATCGAATGTGTCAACTCCTAATCTTTTGTCCACCAAAAAATGAGAACTCAATTCATTCCCCAGCCTCATTCACAACCGATGAAATACAGCTTCGGGTGAAATGCGGGACTGATTGATAGCATGTACTAACGGTTGAGGGCCCCAATAGAAGTTGTTATCATACTAGAAAGCGTACCTCCACAAGCACGTGACATGTGAACAGTATGACGCTATAAAACATGCGACTTCCTAATCCAGTACTATTCTCACTGGCCAGCGCTTGCCATACTCCAGAATATATTCTACAAAATGCACGTTGAAGCCGAGTTTCGCTCACCGGCAGTGTGTGTCCTTAGTGGTAGCGCGTACCCGGGGTTTCATGTTCGGACATCTGACATGCGATGCGAGAATATTACCATGGCTTCACCAACGCACACTAAATGCACCTGAACTACCACGTCTGAACAGACTAATGTGTTCAAACGGTCAGACTGTTCGAAGAAGAGTGATGTGAGTTCTGAAGGTGCTTCAACTATCTAAAAGTGATTAAAATACTCTCTAGGAAATCCAAAGAAATCACGACGCTGAAAAAAAATCCACCTAAAAAGTGCTACAGATGCGGCGAGTACCAGCTTCATGATAAATGCCGTTTTTGCAATATTGGATGTCATCATTGCAATAAGAGCGTAAACCGTATTATGTTGTCACTCAAATAACAGTCGCTTATAGAACGCACCGTGAATGTTAAAGCTGCTGACCACCGAGAAGTGTGTATTCCGGCGCAAAGGTTGCATACTGGATTCAACCGTGGGGCAACCCTTGAATAAGAAACCCCTCCGGTCATATGCTTGTCATGACTTTTAGTTTAACTAAATTTGGGCATTTACTAATCCATGAAGAAATGTCGACAGTGCTTTGGACTGTCAAAATGCATTTACATCAAAAACCACCAGGACTTGTAAAAATTGTATGACCCCAACAAACAGACGTAACGACTGCGGTTATCCAGAGATGAAAATGAGTACTTGCTGCGTATGGGTGCAAATAATTCTGTAACCTGGCAAGAAACACCAAAACAGATTTCCTATCACGAATGCGTGCGTTCATTTGGTCCGCTCCATCGGTGATCTCCACACAACCGGTACACATTCGCGAGTACATGAGGCTCGTAAACAATGTGCCCAGTATTGTTTGCCAGAAAGAACGAATGGCCATTTAAAGCTAATCAAAGTCCCCGGAATCACGTATGAGACATGCCCATGCTTCGGTACACACAGTTAGGGTGTTGTGTCGATGACGGTACGGTGATTTCAACTCTACGGAGTCTCCTTCTGACTGACATCATGGCTTTCTGGTTATCTGTAAAATGAAGTCGCTAGCACGTCAAAGGTGATGGTGGTCTGAACTGAATAATGATCTTAGGTGATTTTCTGGTGAATATGTGCACAAAACCATCAATACACCTAGAGATTGGATCCTGACCGGACGTTGCAGTTGACGCAAACTATAAATGCTGACTAGTGCGGAGCGCTGATAAGGTACTTTTTTGCACAGGTGGTACTCGATTGCTCCTCTAAATACCCAAGTTTCTCCTGATCAAATTGATATCCAGCAAGTTCAAAATGAAGACAGTTTGTACATGTTCCGGAAGGGAGGCATTTCAAAGTCTCTGGTAACCAACAACGGTACCGCGTGTTACTCCAGTGAAATGAAGATATGTTTGTGTACAGTGGACTACCAGCATTGAAGCTAACGGCCCACCAACCTTCCTCCGATGTAGCTGTTGAAAATATGGTGAGAAAATCATAAAGCCCTGTTAAATCTGGTCAACGACAATTTTCTCATGCTTGAGAAGAATTGTCAGGTAATTTATTACTCCAACACCTTCATCCTGCACACACTGGAACTAGTCAATTCCCGTTAATTCTCTTCACTTTCAAAACGCTACCTGCTCCACTGCACTGTTCTGACCCTAGGGATGATGTCCAATTAAGTGCAACAAGGCAGCGTCCGAAAGTGGAATGATTACCCGTAAATGGGGAGGGAATATGAGGGAGATTACAGACTTTAATGACGGTGCAGTAAACGGGTGTCAAATTGACCAAATTAGAAAAAATGCAGTTCAGAAGGTAATCCAGGTCCTCAGAGGCCTGAAGCCGAACCCGTGAGCACAACTGTTCCAGGAATATCCTTCTGAATGGCATTCTATGCTTCAAACCAGAAGGTTTAGCAGTTCCAAACTGGTTCATGCCGTTATAGCCTCCACAGTATATGAACCCGCACATTATTGTCCATGTTCTGTCCGAACTCTGCCTCCTAGCAAACAGGTTCATACCACTCACATTATTCACACACCGATGCTGTCCTCCCCTCGCAACCTCACTAACCGCTACTGTGACGTTTGACCGGACAAAGTAACCTTGGTTGTTTACCGCCTCTCAGCGTCCTGTATAACTAATGTATGTGTGAGCAACAGAAGATAGCTGAGCTCCGATTTTGTCAGCGTCAGCAGAATAATGAAAACAGTGATCACTCAGCTGCAACACCCCTTCGGTGTACGGTTGCGATGCCATCAGAAGGAATCCAAGGGGTCTGCCAGGTTGCTCAAGCCGAGATAAAATCAGTCGACATACCGAGGCCGGGTTTGGATCAGTGGACTTTCGGCTGGTGAATTCGCGCCTTAACGACTGAGCTTTCTCGGACTCCTGCTTCAGCGCTTTCTCTTGCCAGGTTGGGACGATCCAGTACGATTGCTTATCTATACATTGGTATGAAACGGTCAACTCGGAACCATCTTTTTCGCCCTACACAATTTTACACTGCCTCGAAAACCAGTGTGTCTCTTTCTGCATAAAGATTTCAGGTTATCACCCTTCGTTCTGAATTGCAAGCATGCGGATGACATGTTTTCGACCGTCCTTTTTTCTGGCCTACAATCTTCCGTGTGCATTCGATCAACGAATACCTGGCAAACCATGCAGAACCGTGATGTGTGGAAGTAATCCATGTGAAACCCGACTGAGACGTGGTCAGTCCACCTTAGGAAAGGAACCAATGAAAACAAGCCAACGGCAGGACTAGTTGTCAAACCATGAAGTTGAATGGCACACCGTTAAGTTGAGAAGAACACCGTCCCTTCTGTCCTTTATGGTACAGGTGATCCAGCTCCTGGCGAAGGTCACTCACGATGATCGAGACGCTGGTTTACTGAGAAAAGCGCTCTTAACCTTGTATTTTCCCACCACCAATCCACCGGAAAAAACCTATACAGCACATCACCTTTTCGACCTGTCCTACTGAGTACTTTTATGATATTCTAAAACTGTTGTTCTCATGATATTGCGGCTGATAGTTTGACCATGTCTCAAACTAGATATGTAAACCTTCCCGGTGACCTGAAGTGTGTTCATCCTGAGCTTGTGCAAATAATTTTTGCCTAATCAAAGTGCATTCTTCTTCACGCTTTAAATTTAAGGGTTATTTTTGTACCCAAAACAAATCAATTACTTCATACGTCGTTCCGCTTTGGATATATTTTTGTTCTTTCGGTTTATTAAACTTAAAAGGTGAAAAAATGGTGATTTGTTCTTCTAAACTGATATTTTGATTCAACCGCCTTTTCAATGAGTACCTGAAGTTTGTGATGACTTCTTGTAACATTGAAATAACACGTTTCAAGAGTAACGGTTTTCCTTAGCTTCGATATTTATCGATTTCAAACAGATTATTGATTTTTTAAATTGTTGATCGCTTCGTAATCGTATTCTGGGTTCTGACTACGCGATCATTTTCATTAAGCAAGAGCTTCTGTACTCTATTTGTGTATTGGAAAATCCATTTCCCAAAAAACGATTACAACCTCAACCACTCACCAAAAAAATCCAACCCAAAGTTTTTCCGAGTGGAAGACGATGACTCATGATTGAGGCACAATGATGAATCTGTTTGAAGACATCGAGGCATTGAAACATAATTGCGGGCCTTTATGGACTGTACCGCATTTGTGACTAAACGAAATGTACGCATATGACAAAGATTGACAAAGGCATGTTCGGATCGTTATTTCTGATCATCTGACTGGAAAGAAGAGGAAATCCGTTGGTGATGGAAGCCGCGGTGGGACCAAACACCTGCTTCCGTGCTGATGAGCGATTGTATGTTTTTAGACGGCACAGTAACCGGTTCTACGCTACCTATAAACAAAAGAGAAAACTTGGATGTTATATTGAAAGCGCGAGCAGTGAACAGCTGTTGAATATAATAGAAAGTCACAAGTTCAGATATACATATGACAGATTCAAACCGATATATGTGTATTTTCCCAGGAAATTATTCAGCAAGTTGAAAATATGTCCATGTGATATCTGAATATAAGATATTGAAAGTTAGGACTTGTCACACATAATTCCAGTATTTAACCTATTTGGACACAGAATAATGTATAAAAATGTCCTGAAGTGACCGCTCACAAAAATCAAGCAAAGTCGTCCTTAGTTAGGGCTAACTGGATCTTTGGCTTCACATGTCAAACAAGAAAGCCTGAACAAATCAAACCGGATTTAAACAAAGTACTTTATCTTAACTTGCTTCTGAACGTATCCGCTCCGTATTTCATTCAGTTCTACACGGTCATTTATGTCGAATTATGTGTTAGGATGCTGCTCCAGTATAAATTATCGACCTTTGGTAAAAAATCGTCCTGGTTACCGGTCGGGAGACTATGCAACTTTCTTAAGCAGTTCTTAACTCTCTTAAGCAGTCCTGTGTTCTCAACCATTCACGATGTGAAATATATTCATGCCGTTTTAGTCGTCCTCAAACCACTTCTCCAGGGGGGATCATCTGCCGCTTAGATTTAAACATAGAAACGAGCAGTCTAACTGACACACTCTTGTAGTTGGCAAGTGATTTACCTCAGGAAGGTTGACGCTCAGCTCATATTCATCTTTTTAGTCAGCCAACCGATTGGCCTAAACAGCAGTGCGTGAAACTACTGTTAAAACTGTGCTGCTGAGTCAAAGAATCCTACTGGTGAAGTAAGCACTCCCCCTGTGTTTATCTTGGAGACGGAATCCCCTACTTATATACCAAACATTTGGAAGTGAATTCAGGTATCTTGTGCTGCGATTTTATGGTGTAGGATTCGTCTATGGAGTAGTATTTTGCACAGTCGGCTATTTGTTCTCCCAGTGGTTGTAATTTTAATGTAGCAGACGTAGCAGCCCACACTTGTTTAATAATATAGATTCGTTAACATCGTTCTGCTGATGACCTGTTCGGGTGCCTGGTAACTGTATAATTTGATGAAGACCGGTTGGCTTTCCTCGTTTTGAAGGCATCAGATGGAGTGTTGCCAACTAACTTTCAAGGTACGGACAATCTCCTTACTTGGTGAACAGGAGTGGAGACGTCCTGACAACCATTCGGTTCAGATAAACTTCAAACGTGCTAACATTCTATCTTGAATCGTCCTATTTATTTGTAAACTGTTCTCTTCTCCCTGCACTCAACCCTCCAGCTATCTAACTCATTCTTCTCAGCGTTGTACTTTATTTCGGATTAGTGCGTACATACCATTATTTCAGTGGATACCAGGGTATGAAACGTTAATGGAGCAGGCTCACTGTAGGTATCTTTGGTCATTCTCGCATACATTGTTCCCTTCTTCGAAGTCCCATCCATGGCCTCCTACCTTTTGTTAAACCTAAAACCATCCGATAATCACTCAAAAACGCTCATCTCTTGGTCTGCCTTTCTGAAACGCTTTAATCTGGCCCCGGTCACTGGCAGGAATGACAAAATAGGCCATAGGAAAACTTGGTTTCCTCTTGTAAATAATTTGCTTTGGTCAACTCTTCCTTCCAGTACAGTTTCAATTCTGGCTCTTCGCGGAATATTGCGTTCTTAGTTAGGTAGCGCTACCCCCACAGATCTTTTGTTTCATTGACCGGTTGTGTGAGCAACGTCAAGGAGAGGGAAACATAACTTTTTAGCCCAAAGGTTATTTTAGTTCTCCATGGGGGTTTGGTGTTTCAACGTCGGGGATTTGCATGTCCATATCGATGACCATCCAGAAATACAGTATGTGTGTATCTGGGGATGGATGGATGGATAAAATCACTTTTTGTGAAAGACATCGACTGAATGTTCCAGTGTAGAGGCCACCACTGCTGCGGGCGGTATGCTTTACGACCTTACAGGAGAGACACAATAGCCAGGTGAACTTTGGAAACTATCCACGTGAGTGAGATGACAGAAGTTGTGTGGGCGGATAGATTTAGAGGCGTAGTTAACTCATGCGCTGTACTGTGTGGGCAAATTCAGCTGACAGGTCACGTTCCCTCTTCTTCCACTTCAGTCAAGGAACATTGGGGCCAATTTTTCAATGGATGCACAGTTACACAAAAGACATACTCCACGCTCATTATATGCAAATTAAATGAGTTGCTTGGGTGAATTATGTCTTCAGAGTTTACAGGAATTCTGTATACCCGCTTGAAACTGGGACCCGCGAGCGAATTAGGTCAAAAACATACCAGCCTTCCGGCCACAAAACTACTGACTGAGATGCCTTTCTGTTCAGGTTGCTGTGTCTTCCTTCTCTAACTTTGATCCTATCCAACTCTACAGTGAACTGGTGATTGCTAACAGCAACCAGAATACTAGGGCTTCGTAACGCATTTCCTTCGGTAGTACCTAATATTTCACATCGTTGTTTCCGTCGGTCCGTTTGGCCGCATAGTGGGATGCTCGGATCATGGTTCTCTGACTGCTTTGCGTAGGAGTGATTTCATGCATTTAAAAAGTAAAAAGAATCTCCTTCTGTTTCACTTTTCAATAGCAGATGCTGTGAAACCTATTCTTGTCAAACCCACACTGCTTATAAGGTCGCTGGAAGTCCTTCGACGGCCAAACGCCTCTATAGCTTCATCAGGCTCCTTTCAGATGAGTCTTCGTTAAGACCAACCTAATTGGCCAATGAGTGTTTATCGTTACGTACATTCAAGTAGGTCTTCAACTATAAAATAATATCAATAGAAATTTAGGAACCGGACCAAACTGATGGGATTCTAGAAGATCAAAGCCGGTAGTTCGATAACAGGGCTTTGAAAACTTTGTAAGGCGGCCGTTTTTCCGAACACTCAGCTAAAAATTATTACAAGTAACAGACGCAATGTACATTGCGTTGTGTTTTCTCTTAACTCCTCGGGGTCCATAAATTAGCTTACGCTTGTTTTTTCTCACTTCAAGACGTTATAGCGATTGCAAAGTATGTAGGCCAGCAGCTACGCAACTAATCACGTTGTTACATTGTAATCCCACTGCCTACACTACTTTGTTTTTTTTCCTGGAATGTCAAAAAGCTTGTATGTCTCTCCAGCGAAAACTATTATATTGAAGAAAATCCGCTTTAAAACCAGCTCATCCCTATTTGATGAATTAGAAGAGGGAAACTTTACAAAGCGGCGGTTTGCATCATTAAAATTCATATAGGCACCGAGAACGAACAAAGTTTTGACGAGAGTACCAGGGCGCACGTAATTTGCGAGGCTTTCCAATTGCCTGTCAGCCATTATGTTAAACATGAACCGCACAAAAATAAGCCTGACGGGGAACCAGACTAGGGACGTGCAGATTGACATATCTCGGACTACTGAGAAGAGAGAGAATACTCATTTGAGGGTTTGAGTCCGGAAAGTGAGACAAAACAGAGGATGAGTGATGAACACAGTCATCATCATCATCATTGATAGCAACACCAGAAGAGAGCAGTGAGGCTTCACGGCCACCAACACAACACAAAACAAAACAGATTAAACAAACGATCCACAAGCGACTGGCGAAACCGCATGGAGGCATAGTTTCAACTCTTGATGATCGGTTTGTTCCCTTTTACAAACTTTCCAACCACTTCCATCGAATTAATCGTAAAACGATGGAAACGATCAAGAAACATGACTGGTACGTAGTTAGCAAGAAGCGGCGTATGCAAAAAAATTGCCGAAAAAATCTCTGGTCAAAAGTTTGTTTCTCCAAAGTCGCTATCTAACGGAACAAGTTGACCTTTCTCTTCATCTCAAATATAATGCGATCTATGATGAGCTATGTAGGCTTAGAGCAAAATCACCGATTGTGACTGGCAAATCGCGCAACACTCCCAATCAGTTCATCGTGGCATTCTATCCGTTTCCAAAATTTCGTAGCAGGCAACTGTCGTTTGGCCGTGCGGTGTGACCGGAGGGCGACAAAACACAGTTGTTTACGGAGAGGATACTGATCGAAACATAAAACCAACTGGAAAGACGTACTGATTCTTTTTCACATGTTCTTACTAGAAAAGCCTTTCTACTTCATTTCTACGTCACTTGAAGCCAAACTGACGTGGATCACCAAAGAAAAGACAACGTAATAAATGCCAACCTGCAGAAATTTGATGAAATCTTCAACATTTACGGTCGGTGGTTCATAGATGAATAAAATTGTTTCAGATATGAAAATCTAAACTGCAGACTCAAACCAACTCAATTCTTGGAGAATTATGACATAAAAGATTTTCTTAAAAACAGGTAAAACGTTTAATCATGACGTTTTTGGGTAACTATGGGCCTGGAATGCCTAAGCGAAAGCCTTGGGCCAGATTTAGATACCGATTCATTGCATTAGGTTTCATTTTTTTCGTAAAAAATTATATTATTAGCAAACAAATGCCGTATTATGTGTCTCATTATGTTGCTGTTACGTCACACAGTGTATACTTGTATACCGCACAATTGGTTACACTTTCATGTAATGCTGATAAAATCCGGGGACTAGAATGTACCAGGAAGAGCGAGCTTAGTAGAAGCTGAAACCGGTAAAATTAGGGGCCGATGGCATAGGGTAACAAATTGTACATCCTTAGGGGGATCGATAAGGTTGATTTAAAAATAATTTCGTCCGTTCAAATGAGTCTGGTGGTCGAACAAACAGTTGACTTATTCAGCTAAATCAACTCAAATCAGAGCGTCAAATTTTTCTCATCCCCAAGGAGTAAGTGAAAATCTCAAGTTATCTGCCCTGACGTGATATATTTTCATGGCAAAGTTGACTTTCTCTCTAAAGTTCTACCACACAACAAGAAACACGCTTATCCAATTTCGTCGCTAAGCTTCAATCTTTTAATCTTCAATTATTTTCCGAAAAGTGAGATATC